TTATCGAACTTGTCCGAGGTTTCATGGTAATTAAACTTGTTGTGAAGTTTGAAGTTAATCCGTTAATAATTACTCGAGATATCGAGCGGACACTGTTTTGGCAAGTAAAGGGGCATAACTCCAGAAATTATGGTCGGATAATGGCGGTTATCGAACTTGTCCAAGGTTTCATGGTAATTAACCTTGCTGTGAAGTTTGAAGTTAATCCGTTAATAATTACTCGAGATATCGAGCAGACATCGTTTGCCCGCCCGCCTGCCCGCCCGCCCGACAGGCGTATAAAAAGGAAAAAGGTAAACTGTCTGTACAACAGAACAGAATCAACACACAGGGACAAGAAAAGCTGAGGAGAAACCAGAACAATAAACTGATTGTCAATACCCAGGGACAAGAATAGACGAGGAGAAACGAGAACAATAAACTGATTGTCAATATACAGGGACACGAAAAGACGAGAAACCAGAACAATAAACTGATTGTCAATATACAGGGACAAGAATAGACGAGAAACCAGAACAATAAACTGATTGTCAATACACTGGGACAAGAATAGATGAGAAACCAGAACAATAAATTGATTGTCAATATACAGGGACAAGAATTGACAAGGAACCAGAACAATAAACTGATTGTCAATACACAGGGACAAGAATAGATGAGGAGAAACCAGAACAACAAACTAATTTTCAATACACAGGGACAAGAATAGACGAGGAGAAACCAGAACAACAAATTGATTGTCAATATACAGGGACAAGAATAGACGAGAAACCAGAACAATAAACTGATTGTCAATACACAGGGACAAGAATAGACGAGAAACCAGAACAATAAACTGATTGTCAATACACTGGGACAAGAATAGATGAGAAAGCAGAACAATAAATTGATTGTCAATATACAGGGACAAGAATACACAAGAAACCAGAACAATAAACTGATTGTCAATACACAGGGACAAGAAAAGCTGAGGAGAACCCAGAACAACAAACTGATTTTCAATACACAGGGACAAGAATAGACGAGAAACCAGAACAATAAACTGATTGTCAATACACAGGGACAAGAATAGACGAGGAACCAGAACAAACAGTAGGGCAGACTGTCGGTACCGTCAAACAGTAGGTCAGACTGTAGGTACCGTCAAACAGTAGGTACTGTCAAACAGTAGGTACTGTCAAACAGTAGGTCAGACTGTAGGTACTGTCAAACAGTAGGGCAGACTGTAGGTACCGTCAAACAGAAGGTCAGACTGTAGGTACCGTCAGACTGTAGGTCAGACTGTAGGTACCATCAAACAGTAGGTCAGACTGTAGGTACCGTCAAACAGTAGGTCAGACTGTAGGTACTTTCAAACCGTAGGGCAGACTGTAGGTACTGTCAAACAGAAGGTCAGACTGTAGGTACCGTCAGACTGTAGGTACCGTCAAACAGTAGGTCAGACTGTAGGTACCATCAAACAGTAGGTCAGACTGTAGGTACCGTCAAACAGTAGGTACCATTAAACAGTAGGGCAGACTGTAGGTACCGTCAAACAGTAGGGCAGACTGTAGGTACCGTCAAACAGTAGGTCAGACTGTAGGTACTGTCAAACAGTAGGGTAGACTGTAGGTACCGTCAAACAGTAGGTCAGACTGTAGGTACTGTCAAACAGTAGGGTAGACTGTAGGTACCGTCAAACAGTAGGTCAGACTGTAGGTACTGTCAAACAGTAGGGCAGACTGTAGGTACCGTCAGACGGTAGGGCAGACTGTAGGTACCGTCAAACAGTAGGTCAGATTGCAGGTACTTAGATATCACTGTCAACCTCGGGTGCCAGTGATACCCTCGGGGTGACCCCTTGGGTGACAGTGATACCCTCGGGGTGACCCTAGGCACTGTCACACTCTAATAGATGTAGTATTTATATATTTCTTTTCACAATGTTTTACACTTACCCGAGGTACAGAGAGTACAGGGGACACAACTCCAGCTAGTTCCATGGTACCTGTGTTTATCGTCAGATGACCATCCAGCCGCGATATCAGCTGGTTTATCTCCCCCTAGAACAAGATCAATTGACAAAAAGTTTTAGCTTTCTAAGGATTATATTTCTTTTCTGTATACTGTTTATGATAAGTTGTCTTCAAAACAAGACTAGAACCAGGACTAACTCAGTTTTACAACCAACCTACACCAGACTGAACCAGGACTAGCTCAGTGTTATCACCAACCTACACCAGACTGAACCAGTACTAACTCAGTGTTACCACCAACCTACATCAGACTGAACCAGGACTAACTCAGTGTTACCACAAACCATACCAGACTGAACCAGGACTAACTCAGTGTTACCACCAACCTACACTAGACTGAACCAGGACTAACTCAGTGTTACCACCAACTTACACCAGACTGAACCGGGACTAACTCAGTGTAACCACCAACCTACACTAGACTGAACCAGGACTATCTCAGTGTAACCACCAACCTACACCAGACTGAACCAGGACTAACTCAGTGTTACCACCAACCTACACCAGACTGAACCAGTACTAACTCAGTGTTACCACCAACATACACTAGACTGAACCAGGACTAACTCAGTGTTACCACCAACCTACACGAGACTGAACCAGGACTATCTCAGTGTAACCACCAACCTACACCAGACTGAACCGGGACTAACTCAGTTTAACCACCAACCTACACCAGACTGAACCAGGACTAACTGAGTATTACCACCAACCTACACTAGACTGAACCATTACTAACTGTTTATTACCACCAACCTACACTAGACTGAACCAGGACTATCTCAGTGTAACCACCAACCTACACCAGACTGAACCGGGACTAACTCAGTTTAACCACCAACCTACACCAGACTGAACCAGGACTAACTCAGTATTACCACCAACCTACACTAGACTGAACCATTACTAACTCTTTATTACCACCAACCTACACTAGACTGAACCAGGACTAACTCAGTGTTACCACCAACCTACACCAGACTGAACCAGGACTAACTCAGTATTACCACCAACCTACACTAGACTGAACCAGGACTAGCTCAGTGTAACCACCAACCTACACCAGACTGAACCAGGACTATCTCAGTGTAACCACCAACCTACACCAGACTGAACCAGGACTAACTCAGTGTTACCACCAACCTACACCAGACTGAACCAGGACTAACTCAGTGTTACCACCAACCTACACCAGACTGAACCAGGACTAACTCAGTGTTACCACCAACCTACACCAGACTGAACCAGGACTAACTCAGTGTTACCACCAACCTACACCAGACTGAACCAGGACTAACTCAGTGTTACCACCAACCTACACCAGACTGAACCAGGACTAACTCAGTGTTACCACCAACCTACACCAGACTGAACCAGGACTAACTCAGTGTTACCACCAACCTACACCAGACTGAACCAGGACTAACTCAGTGTTACCACCAACCTACACCAGACTGAACCAGGACTAACTCAGTGTTACCACCAACCTACACCAGACTGAACCAGGACTAACTCAGTGTTACCACCAACCTACACCAGACTGAACCAGGACTAACTCAGTGTTACCACCAACCTACACCAGACTGAACCAGGACTAACTCAGTGTTACCACCAACCTACACCAGACTGAACCAGGACTAACTCAGTGTTACCACCAACCTACACCAGACTGAACCAGGACTAACTCAGTGTTACCACCAACCTACACCAGACTGAACCAGGACTAACTCAGTGTTACCACCAACCTACACCAGACTGAACCAGGACTAACTCAGTGTTACCACCAACCTACACCAGACTGAACCAGGACTAACTCAGTGTTACCACCAACCTACACCAGACTGAACCAGGACTAACTCAGTGTTACCACCAACCTACACCAGACTGAACCAGGACTAACTCAGTGTTACCACCAACCTACACCAGACTGAACCAGGACTAACTCAGTGTTACCACCAACCTACACCAGACTGAACCAGGACTAACTCAGTGTTACCACCAACCTACACCAGACTGAACCAGGACTAACTCAGTGTTACCACCAACCTACACCAGACTGAACCAGGACTAACTCAGTGTTACCACCAACCTACACCAGACTGAACCAGGACTAACTCAGTGTTACCACCAACCTACACCAGACTGAACCAGGACTAACTCAGTGTTACCACCAACCTACACCAGACTGAACCAGGACTAACTCAGTGTTACCACCAACCTACACCAGACTGAACCAGGACTAACTCAGTGTTACCACCAACCTACACCAGACTGAACCAGGACTAACTCAGTGTTACCACCAACCTACACCAGACTGAACCAGGACTAACTCAGTGTTACCACCAACCTACACCAGACTGAACCAGGACTAACTCAGTGTTACCACCAACCTACACCAGACTGAACCAGGACTAACTCAGTGTTACCACCAACCTACACCAGACTGAACCAGGACTAACTCAGTGTTACCACCAACCTACACCAGACTGAACCAGGACTAACTCAGTGTTACCACCAACCTACACCAGACTGAACCAGGACTAACTCAGTGTTACCACCAACCTACACCAGACTGAACCAGGACTAACTCAGTGTTACCACCAACCTACACCAGACTGAACCAGGACTAACTCAGTGTTACCACCAACCTACACCAGACTGAACCAGGACTAACTCAGTGTTACCACCAACCTACACCAGACTGAACCAGGACTAACTCAGTGTTACCACCAACCTACACCAGACTGAACCAGGACTAACTCAGTGTTACCACCAACCTACACCAGACTGAACCAGGACTAACTCAGTGTTACCACCAACCTACACCAGACTGAACCAGGACTAACTCAGTGTTACCACCAACCTACACCAGACTGAACCAGGACTAACTCAGTGTTACCACCAACCTACACCAGACTGAACCAGGACTAACTCAGTGTTACCACCAACCTACACCAGACTGAACCAGGACTAACTCAGTGTTACCACCAACCTACACCAGACTGAACCAGGACTAACTCAGTGTTACCACCAACCTACACCAGACTGAACCAGGACTAACTCAGTGTTACCACCAACCTACACCAGACTGAACCAGGACTAACTCAGTGTTACCACCAACCTACACCAGACTGAACCAGGACTAACTCAGTGTTACCACCAACCTACACCAGACTGAACCAGGACTAACTCAGTGTTACCACCAACCTACACCAGACTGAACCAGGACTAACTCAGTGTTACCACCAACCTACACCAGACTGAACCAGGACTAACTCAGTGTTACCACCAACCTACACCAGACTGAACCAGGACTAACTCAGTGTTACCACCAACCTACACCAGACTGAACCAGGACTAACTCAGTGTTACCACCAACCTACACCAGACTGAACCAGGACTAACTCAGTGTTACCACCAACCTACACCAGACTGAACCAGGACTAACTCAGTGTTACCACCAACCTACACCAGACTGAACCAGGACTAACTCAGTGTTACCACCAACCTACACCAGACTGAACCAGGACTAACTCAGTGTTACCACCAACCTACACCAGACTGAACCAGGACTAACTCAGTGTTACCACCAACCTACACCAGACTGAACCAGGACTAACTCAGTGTTACCACCAACCTACACCAGACTGAACCAGGACTAACTCAGTGTTACCACCAACCTACACCAGACTGAACCAGGACTAACTCAGTGTTACCACCAACCTACACCAGACTGAACCAGGACTAACTCAGTGTTACCACCAACCTACACCAGACTGAACCAGGACTAACTCAGTGTTACCACCAACCTACACCAGACTGAACCAGGACTAACTCAGTGTTACCACCAACCTACACCAGACTGAACCAGGACTAACTCAGTGTTACCACCAACCTACACCAGACTGAACCAGGACTAACTCAGTGTTACCACCAACCTACACCAGACTGAACCAGGACTAACTCAGTGTTACCACCAACCTACACCAGACTGAACCAGGACTAACTCAGTGTTACCACCAACCTACACCAGACTGAACCAGGACTAACTCAGTGTTACCACCAACCTACACCAGACTGAACCAGGACTAACTCAGTGTTACCACCAACCTACACCAGACTGAACCAGGACTAACTCAGTGTTACCACCAACCTACACCAGACTGAACCAGGACTAACTCAGTGTTACCACCAACCTACACCAGACTGAACCAGGACTAACTCAGTGTTACCACCAACCTTCACCAGACTGAACCTGGACTAACTCAGTGTTACCACCAACCTACTCTGAATGATTCCATCATGCAACTTTATCCTCGGGTCATGTGACTAACAGCAATTCACGAATCTTGTAACTTAGAGTGATCACTAGATCATGTGAGTTCTGGTAGCCCTTAGAATGTGTGACTGGATCTCAGGATCAGTCCCAAGCACGGCCTACTTAAGAAGGTAACTATTTTGTTGATTGACAATATTAAAGTACTTCTTAAAACTATAATTTTTACTTTTCTTTCTTAAAAATGTGTTTAATATAGAAATTTACATTGACAGTCAAAATTTTAGAATTCTTGAAAAAAAGTTATACAGGCATTTTGGTTTGATAAGAAAAACATTTAAGAAAAAGATTAGAACTTAGCCATCAGTTCAATAGGTAAAACAGTACTTCTTTCACTCTCACTACAGTTTGAATGAAAGCAGTTCTACTTCTTTCTTAACAATTATCTCACAAATAAGTTTTGGTTCTATTTTCATTCTTACCGAATATTTATCTTCCAGTTCCTTGATTTTGGCATCATAGTGAGATTCGAGAGATGCAAGCTCTGTCTTGTGCTTCTCATTTAAACTCTCTGTGATTTCCATGACAAACTGAGCACGGTTCTCGTCCACATCGGTAGACACAGGTTCAGACACTTCCTGTTTGGAGTCTGACACTTCCTGTTCGGAGTCTGACACTTCCTGTTTGGAGTCCGACACTTTCTGTTTGGAGTCCGACACTTCCTGTTTGGAGTCCGACTCCTGAGTTATTGATTCCACAGAAGAGTTGACAAGCTCATTTTGAAGCTTGGTAATCTCCTCCAGGTGGAGCTGTTCTAATTCATGCAGGCGAGTCTCGAACTCAGCCTGAAGTGTTTGGCGACAATCGCCAATGTCACTCTCATGTTGAGACTGTAGATCGTCCAATTCCTGTTGTTGCTGTTCTATCATTCGAGTCTGTATATGGAGCAGAAAAAGGCACAATTTGATACAGATCTTCCATCTGACAAACCCACACAAAAATGTTTCAATATGTTAATTGAACAAATTGAATTTATTATTTCTGTTAGAAACTTTCTGTTCATGTGTATAGTGTCATCAATCACTTACGTGGTCAGAAATGTTAACCCCAGGAGGCTTCTGATATTATTGTCAACAGTAATTAAACTTTTCTAAGAAAAACTATGAATAATGTCATTTAAAAAAGGGACTGAAACAAGTGCCTGTAATAGCGGGTTGGTTGTGATTTTGAGGTGGTCATTAGATAAGTTGGTTGCTAGGTGAGGTTTTCACTAGATGAGGTGGTCATTAGATGAGGTGGTTGCTTGGTGAGGTGTTCATTAGATGAGGTGGTTGCTAGGTGAGGTGGTCGTTAGATGAGGTGGTTGCTAGGTGAAGTGGTCATTAGATGAGGTGGTTGCTAGGTGAGGTGGTCGTTAGATGAGGTGGTTGCTAAGTGAGGTGTTCATTAGATGAGGTGGTCGTTAGATGAGGTGGTCGCTAGGTGAGGTGGTCGTTAGATGAGGTGGTTGCTAGGTGAGGTGGTCGTTAGATGAGGTGGTCGTTAGATGAGGTGGTTGCTAGGTGAGGTGTTCATTAGATAAGGTGTTCATTTGATGAGGTGTTCATTAGATGAGGTGGTCGCTAGGTGAGGTGGTCGTTAGATGAGGTGGTCGTTAGATGAGGTGGTTGCTAGGTGAGGTGTATGTTAGATGAGGTGGTTGCTAGGTGAGGTGGTCATTAGAAGAGGTGGTTGCTATGTGAGGTGGTCGTTAGATGAGGTGGTCGCTAGGTGAGGTGGTCGTTAAATTATCATGAGGAGACTAAGTGAGGTTTCACTGTAATTTGGCTTTAGATACATGTGACCCATTTAATGACCTTTTTATTTCAAGTGTTCTACATCTTTTAACTCTAAGGACAATAATCTGCTTTCTATATAGACCTTTCAGACACAAGTGACCTACATACTGACCTTTCAGACACAAGTGACCTGTATACTGACCTTTCAGACACAAGTGACCTGTATACTGACCTTACAGACATAAGTGACCTGTATACTGACCTTACAGACACAAGTGACCTGTATACTGACCATACAGATATAAGAAACCTACCCAGGGGCTGTAGTGACATAGATACTGACCTGTTCCGATTCAAGTGTTTCATCAAATTCTTGTTGCATCAGAGTCTTGGCCATTTCCAGTTCGGTGTCGATTCTATCCCGTACAATATCAGCCACCTCAGGAGCATCTCCACTCCGAACACCTGTCAAATCACAGTTATCTCCCTTTACATCTAGATACCTTAATACTGCTGCTGTATGGTCACATCATCACAGTTATCCCCCTTTACATGTAAATACCGTAATACTGCTGCTGTATGGTCACATTATCAGTTATCTCCCTTTACATCTAGATACCTTAATACTGCTGCTGTATGGTCACATTATCAGAGTTATCTCCCTTTACATCTCAATACCATAATACTGCTGCTGTATGGTCACATTATCACAGTTATCTCCCTTTCCATCTAGATACCTTAATACTCTTACTGTATGGTCACATTATCACAGTTATCTCCCTTTCCATCTAGATACCTTAATACTCTTACTGTATGGTCACATTATCACAGTTATCTCCCTTTCCATCTAGATACTGTAATACTGCTGCTGTATGGTCACATTATCACAGTTATCTTCCTTTACATCTAGACACCTTAATACTGCTGCTGTATGGTCACATTATCACAGTTTTCTCCCTTTCCATCTAGATACCTTAATAAGGCTGCTGGAGGGTCACATCATCACAGTTGTCTCCCTTTACATGTAGATATCTTAATACTGCTGCTATATGGTCACATTATCAGTTATCGCTGCTGTATGGTCACATCAGTTATCTCACTTTACATCTAGATACCTTAATAAGGCTGCTGGAGGGTCACATCATCACAGTTATCTCTCTTTACATGTAGATATCTTAATACTGCTGCTGTATAGTCCCATTAACATATCTCCCTTTACCTCTAGATCCCTTAATACTGCTGCTGTATGGTCACATCAACATATCTCCCTTTACATCTAGATACCTTAATACTGCTGCTGTATAGTCACATTAACATATCTCCCTTTACATCTAGATACCTTAATACTGCTTCTGTATGGTCACATCAGTTATCTTCCTTTACATCTAGACACCTTAATACTGCTGCTGTCTGGTCACATTATCACAGTTATCTCCCTTTCCATCTAGATACCGTAATCCTGCTGCTGTATGGTCACATTATCACAGTTATCTCCCTTTCCATCTAGATACCGTAATCCTGCTGCTGTATGGTCACATTATCACAGTTATCTCCCTTTCCATCTAGATACCGTAATACTGCTGCTGTATGGTCACATTATCAGTTATCTCCCTTTACATCTAGGTACCGTAATACTGCTTCTGTATGGTCATATCAACATATCTCCCTTTACATCTAGATACCTTAATACGGCTTCTGTATAGTCACATTAACATATCTCCCTTTACATCTAGATACCTTAATACTGCTTCTGTATGGTCACATCAACATATCTCCCTTTACATCTAGATACCTTAATACTGCTTCTGTATAGTCACATTAACATATCTCCCTTTACATCTAGATACCTTAATACTGCTGCTGTATGGTCACATCATCACAGTTATCTCCCTTTACATCTAGAAACCTTAATACTGCTGCTGTATGGTCACATTATCACAGTTATCTCCCTTTACATCTAGATACCGTAATACTGCTGCTGTCTGATCACATTATCACAGTTATCTCCCTTTACATGTAGATACCTTAATACTGCTGCTGTCTGGTCACATTATCACAGTTATCTCCCTTTACATCTAGATACCTAAATACTGCTGCTGTCTGGTCACATTAGCAGTTATCTCCCTTTACATCTAGATTTAATACTGCTGCTGTATAGTCACATTAACATATCTCCCTTTACATCTAGATACCTAAATACTGCTGCTGTCTGGTCACATTAGCAGTTATCTCCCTTTACATCTAGATGCCTTAATACTGCTGCTGTCTGGTCATATTATCAGTTATCTCCCTTTACCTCTAGATACCTTAATACTGCTGCTGTCTGGTCATATTATCAGTTATCTCCCTTTCCATCTAGATACCTTAATACTGCTGCTGTCTGGTCACATAATACTCTTACTGTATGGTCACATTATCACAGTTATCTCCCTTTACATGTAGATCCCTTAATACTGCTGCTGTCTGGTCATATTATCAGTTATCTCCCTTTACATCTTGATCCCTTTATACTGCTGCTGTCTGGTCTCATTATCAGTTATCTCCCTTTACGTCTAGATACCTTAATACTGCTGCTGTCTGGTCACATTATCCCAGTTATCTCCCTTTACATCTAGATTCCTTAATACTGCTGCTGTCTGGTCACATTAGCAGTTATCTCCCTTTACATCTAGATACCTTTATACTGCTGCTGTCTGGTCTCATTATCAGTTATCTCCCTTTACGTCTAGATACCTTAATACTGCTGCTGTACGGTCACATTATCAGTTATCTCCCTCTACATCTAGATACCGTAATACTGCCTTTACATCTAGATACCTTAATACTAATACTCTTACTGTATGGTCACATTATCACAGTTATCTCCCTTTACATGTAGATCCCTTAATACTGCTGCTGTCTGGTCATATTATCAGTTATCTCCCTTTACCTCTAGATACCTTAATACTGCTGCTGTCTGGTCATATTATCAGTTATCTCCCTTTACCTCTAGATACCTTAATACTGCTGCTGTCTGGTCACATTATCAGTTATCTCCCTTTACATCTTGATACCTTTATACTGCTGCTGTCTGGTCTCATTATCAGTTATCTCCCTTTACATCTAGATACCTTAATACTGCTGCTGTCTGGTCACATTATCAATTATCTCCCGTTGCAGCAAGATACCTTAATACTGCTGCTGTATGGTCACATTATCAGTTATCTCCCTTTACATCTAGATTTAATACTGCTGCTGTATAGTCACATTAACATATCTCCCTTTACATCTAGATACCTTAATACCGCTGCTGTATGGTCACATTATCACAGTTATCTCCCTTTACATCTAGATACCTTAATACCGCTGCTGTATGGTCACATTATCACAGTTATCTCCCTTTACATCTAGATACCGTAATACTGCTGCTGTATGGTCACATTATCACAGTTATCTCCCTTTACATCAAGATACCGTAATACTGCTGCTGTCTGGTCACATTATCATGTGTTGGAGTAGATTTCACTCGTATGTCAGAGTCGTCTCCCCTAACATGATAATCGGCAGGTATTGTTCCCCTACACCAGGACAGACTTTTACATTCCTAATTATGACGGACACCTAGATGTGGAAAGTTGTTTTTTCTCTAATCTTATTCTTTGTGACCAAGAAAATCAAGTTAATTCTCTGCCCTTCATTTTCCAAAATGAAAACTAAATCCTCTAAAAACATTTTTTTTTGTAATTGCTCTTTCAGAAATGTGCAGTCTCTTGAAATGAATGTTAATTTGTTCATAAAATTACAGTAGTTAAATATCTCAGGGTTCTGATGACCCCAGATCCCTGTAGCTTTACTTAACCAATTGATTTAAAACAAAATGAAGGATACATTCGTTTCTTATTTAGAGGCAAAGGATGTAATCTTACTCCAAGTCTTGAATACTGAAAACTAAGTAATAGATATATATACTTATTCTCTGTATTTTTAACATAACATAAATAACCTTGTTTTTCGCTGGGTGGAATATTAAAAGAGATTGATTTCATATTGGTAAAGGTAGCCCATATATGTAGCTATTATGCATTACCTGTTTGTAAGGAAAACTTTAACAATAATACAAAAACACACATAAGAAAAATTGTTTTTTACTTACTTTCAATTAAATTTTCGTATTTCTCCTCAATTTCGTTCAGTTTCATTTGATGCCCCTTCACCAGATCTTCCTTTTCAGTTTCAAAACTTTCTTGTAACTCCAGTCTTAGTAAATCCATTTTTTCTTCAAACTCTCGTCTAATTTGGGACACATTTTCATCGTACTCCCTTGCATATTCCTGTCGTACTTTATCAATATCAACACTAGCCCGCGAAGACACTTCAATATCTTTTAATTTATTTTCATGATTTGTTTTCATTTCACTTAGTTTCTGTTCTGTACTTGCCTTATCTGACATCAAATCCTCTAACTGATCTTTTAGAGCCTCCATGTCTTTTTCATATTCGTTGTTTTCAGCCGTGACCTGTCGTAATCGATCATCCAATGCAGAAATCTTTTGTTCATACTCGGCTCGCAAGAAGGAGAGCGTGTCCTCCTTAGCCCTGGAGATTTCCTTAAACAGTCCAGCCACAGTTTCTGAATCTGTGTCTTGTGTGGTATCCTGTGTGGTATCCTGTGTGGTATCCTGTGCAGATTCCGCCTCATCGCTTCCAGGCGTAACATCCTGAGAAAGCGATTCGTCCTCAGTTTCGTATGACATTGCACTTCCCCCTGCTGGTGAAATATGACCTCCTCTTGGTGTTTCTGTTTCCGACTCTCTATCACTTTCCATAGAATTGTCCGACTCCTGTCTGCGTGACCCAATTTTGTCTTTCGAAACTTCCACAACTGTACTTGCCTTTGAACTTGCTGCATCCTCGTCGACACGAGAATCTACAATATCAGACTGAACTTCCTGTGACAAAAGTGACACTTTCTCTGTGTCCGTGTCTTTATCCTCTACGTCTGGTGTTGCGTCAGAGGCCCGTGATCTAACATCTAATAATTTTTCATCAAATTCCATATGAAGTTGCTGGATTTTATCCTCATAACTTTTGGCAATTTCCTTAATTTTCTCCTCGTGATCAAATGCTAAATCTGCTGCCTGTCTCTTGAGTTCAATCTCTAGCTGAACTTTGAACTCTGACTGGAGTGAGCCCACCTCTATATGTTTCTGGTGGTCCAAGTCCTCAGTTGCGCCTTCCAGTGCCTGAAGGTGTTGGTGCTGTAACTCTTCGTACTGTTCCTCCAGCATGCGTTCCTGTTCCCGTGACGCGTCCAGTTCTACCTGTATATCAATCAGCCTTGACGTCATTTCATCCATCTCCTTGGAATATTTTGTTTCTGATTCCTTCATGTCTTTAGCACATTTTTCCTCAACTTCACACTTTTCTTTCTCTAGGGTGACTATTTTATTGTCTTTTCCCATCAGAATCTGATTCATTTCGTCCAATTCTTTGCACTTATCACTTAATTTCCTCTGAATGTCTGACAGGGCCGAGTCACTCTCTTCGTATCGTTCCTTCATTTCACCTATCTGACTAGTTAGTTTCTCAATAGCAGCGTCCTTTCCTGCTAGTTTTGATTCAAGTTCACTTACAACATTTGGAAGATTTGAAGACACATTATCACTTATCACATTTTCATCACTAGGGGTCAATGTCGGTAGAACTTCCTGTTGAGCATGTGCAGAGGAAGCTTCCTGTTGAAGAGACATGAGACGGTCAATCTGTTGCTGGTGCTGTACCCTTTCCTTTGAGAAAGATTCCTGGAGAGAAAGTAGTTTTTGTTCGTAGACTGACTGTAATATTTCTAGTTCCTTGTTGTGCTGTTCTGTGACAGTTAAGCGTAGAGCTTCACCTGGAAATAAAAAAAAAAAATTGACACATATTTTAAATTCTTAGATGTTTTCTGTGTGCACTTTATTGAGAACTCAATACCGGTAATGTTTTCTGAAGAAATGATTTCACTAATGGGAGGGGAAAAGTGACAAGTTTCATGAATCTCATTATGAAATGGATATAGAATTTAAGATCCTTTTCATCACATCAATTTTGGCGAGTATTGTAAAAAAGAAAATGTACTTATCATTCTTGTAGTCTAAAACTATAGGTATTTTCTTTATATAAATATAATCTGACGTGATTAAATAACCATTTGAGGATGTCACAGTACTGAACAGGTTTTACTGTAGCAGCTTAAGGTAAAACTTAAAGCTGTGTTTCCTTCAAGTTCACCCTTTTTCTCTTTTCAGTTAATTATATATTGTTATTATTAGGATTGGAAAAATCACTGTATTTAACATAATGTTTACTAAAGTCTGAAACTAAACCTGTCCAATTTGAAAGTCGTCGACTGGTCCATGACCTGGAAGAGTAAGTATCAGAATGCATTGCATTTTCCCCTGCTCTTTAAACCACATATACCAGTTCCAATTAAACAGTGGAACCTACCGATTCTTCTGAACATCTGCATGTCTGCCGTCTGTGTAAATTACAAAGATGGCATAGAAAAATCTAAATACATGTGTGACCTTCTGCCAACAGTGTATCGTGAATGTGTTGTACGGGACACGGAGCTTCCTCACACTCCCATCCACAACAAAGGAATTATATACCATAAGCTAAGCATAGATCAAGCTAGTTTTGTTTGGAGGGAGAGTAGGGTTATAGAGTCTGGGGTTCACCATCAGATTACCAGTCATATCAATAATGGATGATCAATATGTGCTAGTGTACAAATATAGATCGTGTTCTAGTTCAGGTGATCTAAAGATACCGTTGATACAGCTGTCAAAACACAACAATAGATAGTGTTCTAGTTCAGGTAAAGATACCATTGATTTAGCTGTCAAAACACAACCATAGATAGTTTTCTAGTTCAGGTAAAGACCCCATTGATACAGCTGTCAAAACACAACCATAGATCGTGTTCTAGTTCAGGTAAAGATACCATTGATACAGCTGCCAAAACACAACCATAGATAGTTTTCTAGTTCAGGTATAGATACCATTGATACAGCTGTCAAAACACAACCATAGATAGTGTTCTACTTCAGGTAAAGATACCATTGATACAGCTGTCAAAACACAACCATAGATAGTGTTCTAGTTAAGGTGATCTAAAGATACCATTGATACAGCTGTCTAAACAGAACCATAGATAGTGTTCTAGTTCAGGTAAAGATACCATTGATACAGCTGTCAAAACACAACCATAGATAGTTTTCTAGTTCAGGTGATTTAAGATACCATTGATACAGCTGTCAAATCAGAACCCAAAAGAATGGATATTTACACAAATGATAACAAAGATGTCACTAACTGTCCAACATTTGGCTATCATGAATTTACCAATGATCTTTACCAGTAAACCATTAACAAGTTTAAACCCAAAACTAGAAACTCTCTTAAGCTATTCATAAATAAAAGAGGTTTTTCACAGGAAATGAGGCTTCTACTACCTGATGCACAGTGATCCTACGACTAAAACCTTTCTGAAAACTCTCACCTGTTTGGGACTCGACCTTGGTCTGGGCTAAAACCTTTCTCAAAACCCCACCTGTTTTGGACTCGACCTTGGTCTGGACTAAAACCTTTCTCAAAATTCTCACCTGTTTGGGCTTGACCTTGGTCTGGACTAAAACCTGTCTCAAAACTGTCACCTGTTTGGGACTCGACCTTGGTCTGGACTAAAACCTGTCTGAAAACTCGCACCTGTTTGGGACTCGACCTTGGTCTGGACTAAAACCTGTCTGAAAACTCTCACCTGTTTGGGACTCGACCTTGGTCTGGAACTCGCTTATCTTGTCCTCGTATGTTTTCTGGAGGTCCTCCATATCATGCTGCATCTTCTCCACTTCCTGTGTGTGGGAAGCCATGCTTTCCGTACGCAGGGCCAGAAGCTGTTCATACTCTGTGAGCATTGCTGCGCGCAGTGCGATAATCTCCTCCCGCTGCGCCTCCAAAGTCTGTCGCACATCTGAAACGAGGAGAACGCCATGGTAACGGTTTAAGGTTGTGCTACACTGAACATTGGTATATATAATTTTAACACAGTTATTACCTTTCAGAAAAACTAACATTTACAAAATATATTGTTTTTCAGATCTAGCTTTGAAATCAAAGGAATATAAATTGTTAGAATTAATTTGTTCTGGTAAACAACTGAAGTTCCTACATAACCAGTGATAGAATGAAATAACATGGACATTAAGGTATGTCCCAGAATGGTGTGTACAAGAATTCCCACTCAATGATCCCTGACCCAAACCACGAAATACACAACAGAATTCCCACTCAATGATCCCTGACCCAAACCACGAAA